TCTTCTCTTTTCTTTAACACAGAAGATGCTATTGGAAGAAAAATCGCATCATATCATCTTTCTTAGGATGCCTGAATGGCTGCTTAAGATTTCACCTGGAAAGTTTAGAGAAGGACCCAGCTATTTGAAGATCAGTTTGGTAGAGTGGGTCTTGTGGCTGGTACACAGCAAGGAAAGATAAAGCAGCAGTTATGACTTTAATCATGGGTTCAGAGTAAGGAAGTGGCTGATCCTGTATTATCTCTGGGTGCTGGTTTTCATCCAGCATAGCTGGAGATCTTGCTGGCAACTGCATCAAAACGTCCATGTTGCATAGATGCTCCAAATGCAGCTGCCAAGAAACTGGAGTTTCCATTTGGAGAATTGCAGACAGGGAGAAGACAAGAAGAGAAGCGCAGCCTGGGATGAGGCTGGAAGGAAGCCAGGATCTTTTTTTCCCACTTGAAACTCAATAGTCCTGCATTTGAATTTCTGTAAAACTGACATATTCGTGGTTTTCAAAAGAGTACTTTCTGACAAGTCCCCTGCCCCCCCAGGCCCCCCTCCTGCAACAGCCCAGAGCTGTCAGCCCCCTCCCAGCCAGCTGGAGCCCCTTTGATATTCTGGGCAGAGTTGGGACCATCCCTGAAGCTATATATATGCAGTTATATGTACATTTTGAAGTTCTGCACATGGCTACACATCTCATCTAGATGGATATATGCATATTTATTCCTTTGTGAATTACTGTAGCCAGCCAATTCTGGCTGATAAACCTTCTCATAAAACATATCCTGTGTGATAAATAAAAACAAAGACTGCTCTCTTTGTGCTAATGAATCACATTCTGGAATCCCCCGCTTCTCTTTGCCTGTTCACAATGTGTCTGTGTATGCGGGTTCTTCTGGAGCAGCCTTACTGCCTTGCAGTGTCACAGCTCGACCTGGGAGACCTGTACCTGCATTGTGGTGCCTTTCCAGAGCCGGTGCAGCCCAGCAGATGGGTGATGCTACGAGAATGAAATCGCAGACCAGACCTGAGAGCCACTGAACACAGGTGGCCCTGGTGTGCCCCCCACCAGGCGTGCACACATCTGCCTTCCCAGCACCTCCTGGGCAACGTGGATGGAGAAAGCTGTGGGTCCCTGCCTGCTCTGCACACCCCCTGACCCTTTCACATTCTGCAGGCATCACTTCAAAGATGTCCCTGCACGACTCTCCTGGCACTTCACAGAGCGCTGCTTGGTTAAAATGGGATGTTTCAGTAAAATGCTCAATGTATCCCACACCACACTACTCCAGCATTCCCACCACTGCGTGAAGCCCCACTGAGCATCACAGCTGCTCAACCACTGCTGCGGGTGCTGCTGCTTTGTGGGAGAGCTGTTTAATGCCGAAATCCCCCCGGCAGAAGGCAGCAGAAGGTGTAATGTCAGAAGAAATACTCTTACATTTTACATTCAGGTTTAGTAAGCGAGGAATCAATGGACTAACAATGACCTATTTCCAATCCTATTTCTCAGCTGATAGAAAGCAGCCCTTCTGCTATGAAATGATACATCTACTCAGCAAGCAGCGAGTAATGCGTTTCTTCTGCAACGATGCTGACTTCGAATACAGGAGAATGCTATGGAGAGCACGCTGTGAGTAACCCGAAACATGTATTTTACTTAAACAGAAATGCTTCCCTAACTCCACAGGTTGTGAGAATGCAGCTTTCACAGAACATTTCTGAGATGTGAGTCCACCTGTTTGTAACAGCAGTAAATGCAGTACTGGTAAGGCAGCAATTTCCCAGTGTGTGATGCAAAGTGTTCCTGGCTGAACAGAGCACTGCTCTGCTGCACACTCCTGCAGCAGCACAGGGCTGCACAACATGGGGCGAGCACACACATGGATTCTATCTAGCAGAGAAAACCCTGTTGGAATTCCCCATCTGCCCACTGTTCTGGAGTGCAACGCAACTGTGGACAACACTACAAACATGAAACTATCCAACAGTTAGCAAATAAGATTAATGTACTGAATGTTTTTCCATAGAGGTTGTTTATCTTTTTGATGTCAACCCTCTCATTACAAGTCTCAGTAATCCTACACTTGTTTCTCTGTTCCTAAAGTGGAATTATAGAATGGTGTTCTGCATCTACCCCCTCAGAAGGGCACTGCTCAGCCTTCCTCCTTCCAGTGTGCGGTTATTTATGGGGCAGAGAAGTGGCCAAAAGCTTTTGAACAAGCACGCATCTGTTTCTAATACAGAAGTTAAATTTGCAATGAGCTGGGATCTGTTATCTCTTTGTTATCCCAGAACCTTGTGATGCTTCCGTACTTGCTGAGTTTTTGGGAGAAATTCTGCAGATGAGGAACAGCCGCTCCAGCCATCTGCCCTCATGCAGAACTCTCCAGTCAATGTGCACAGTGCTTCCATCACAAAGATACAGCCCACAGTGAGAAATGGTGCCATGAAGGCTGAGATTCAGAGTCCGACTCTATAGATCTTCCATATGCAAATCATTTATTGATTAAAGCAGGAACTGCAACTTCATGAGAATAGAAAAAAAATAGGAGAGCTGACATGTTACCTATTAAAAAACAGAGCATGCTTGAAAGCAGGTAGTATTTCGGTTTCTGGCATATTAAAATGCATCAGATATGTGGGGAGGCAGATCAGGGAGAAGTAACCCAAGTTCAAGGAGCCATCCAACCTGCCCAGAGTGCTCATTTAAACACAGCTTTTGTTCTTGAGAATATTAAATAACCCACAGCCCTCTCTCCCCAAGTCCAATTTTTATAAGAGCACCTTATAACGTGTGAAATCATTAATCAAAGGAGATTTCTCAGTTATTCTCTCTGACCTGTCACCGTTACTTATTTAGTCGGCGTTGAGAATTCAGCAGCATCTTCAAAAGCTTCTCCAGACACCACCTGTGAACTAATTACACTAAAGGATGGGGGATCTGTGATAAACGCAGCTCCTGGCAGTGGCTGACAAAAGCAATAATAACTGTGGCCCCAATCTTTTAACTTTTGCAGCTAATTCAGTGTGCATCTCAGGAAGGAAAAAGGAAACTCCCCGACGTCCCAGAGGTGGAAGGCACAGTGCCTAACCATGGCTCCCAAACACAGCCTCCGTTTTGCATTTGTTACACACGTGTGGAACAGTTTGAAGCTTATTCTCTGGGCAGAAAGGAATCTTCAGGGATTTCTCCTTTAAACACAGTGGTTTTGATGGGCAACTGTTGAAAGACATTTTGAGGCTGCTGTCACATGGCTTACGAACAGCTGGAAAATGTCACAAAACTTCTGTGATAGAATTTCGTATGCATATCTTGGAAGTAATTTTTGACAATGGTAGTTGTTACTCAGAATAACTGCATGGAATATGAGAAGGAAAACTAGCTGGAAGAAAGGTCTGCGGCGCTTCCATTGCCGACATGCTGTAGCCCTCTCAGCCAGCTCAAAGAAAAGTATTACTCCAGAATAATGGCATTATTGATACCATCTTCCAGTTCTGCCAGATGGAATATGGGAAGGAATGTATCCGAAATACTGCTAAATGATTCTCACGTTAAGAAGTTACACCTCTTGTCTCACTGCCATCGTCACACACAGTGTTCTGTGCCACTATCCACCCCCCACCGCATCCTCTGCCATTCTGCATAACACACAGGCTCTCTTTCTGACACTGGAAACTCTTTACTTGCCTCTGCAGCTGTAGAGCTTTATAGCAACAGTGATGGCACTATCTGGATATTTAACAGGCTTAAAATAGGTAGAGGGAATATCACAGCAACCTTTCATTTCATAAAGCAAGCAGCACAGCTCAATGGCAGTGCCACCATTGACACCGTGCTGATTTCTGGGAGCACAGAGAAATACTCAGCCCTAATTTTTATCCTGTTTGGGAGCTTCTCTTTCACCTCTTGCTGGTGTCTTTCAGGAGAACAGATGTTTTTCATCTGCACATGGACCTCAGAGTCCTTCCCTCAGCCTTTTCAAGGCAGGTCAGCTCAAGTAGCTCTGTCCCATCACAGCCCTACCTTCTTCTTAAGTTCTCCCCCATTGCATTCAGAGGATTTCGCATTCTCAGTTTCACAGTGTACTTCAAATACATTTGTGTCAATCCCTGACTGTATTATGAGAGTGTGTGATTGAGAGAAGAGGATGATATTAATTTTCGCCCCCCATCTCCATTCTGCTCCCCAGTGCCTGAGCACTGCACACCTTACCCCATCGTGCACAGGGAAATCACATTCCCCTGACTGGTCTGATGCTGCAATCACATTCTGGGAAGACGTTTAATGCAGAGGAATGGTAACCAGAGCAGGGCATGTGAGCCTCATGACTTACCCAGCCCAGAACCTTTGGGAAATGGTTGGCAATACTCTTCCAGCAGTTAGGGAGCTCTGGGCAGCCCCTGTCTGATCCCCTGCGCTGGGCTGAGCAGCACTGCCCACGTGCTGCCAGGGGAAATGGAAGCCCTGAGAACACAAGGAGCTCCCACGCACAGTCAGGACCTCTTGCTGTTGGCCAAGCACAAGGGCAGGATTTGCAACTCATTGAGAACACCTTCTGGCACCCTACAGCGAGAGAGGGCCTCACAGCAGTGATCTAGAGCCATCCTGTGAGCCGTTCAGTGGCAATACAAGAAACATACAAGCCTCAAACAAACGTGCACAATCACAGAAAGAACAGCCAGGTTATCACAACGAGAACACCACAATAATGACATCTGCATTGCCCTGTGCACATCTACTGCACGGCCCTGGGGCAGAGAAGGAATGGGAGAGAAGTGCAGGGATGCAAAGAGGAAAAGGTTTCTCAACAGGGGAAACATAAGAACAGAACAAAAGTCTGGAGGAAAGACAGATCGATGGATGCACAGAGACAGAAAGGAGACAGCCCGGCACTACCACAACAGAACTGCCCGTTATCAATCCCTGCTATTGATATGGCAATGCATCGGTCCCGCTTCCTGGAGAAAAAGTACCCAAACATACTCTGTGAATGTATGTGGATACTGACCTGGGCTTGAGACAGGACTAGAGGTAGTAGGCTCAATTATTTCTACAAAAAGGGAAAAAGGAAAAAAAAAAGAACATTTGGGCGTTAATCACACATGGAAGACAAATACAGAGTGAGACAGCAAACAGTCATGCAACAGACACCAACGACGACTTATTCACGGAGCCGGCGGCCATGGCAGCATGCAGGCCGTGTCTCCTGCCCAGCACTTCCTTCCCGTGCCATCTGTGTGCGCTGTGCTGGCTCCAGATGTGCACGTGTCTGCTTGGCCCCTTGGCACAGCGGCCCTTGGAGCTTTCCTGCTCAGACACATTGCTCCCGGGAAATACTGAAACCTGCCTGGGAAAAGGGTCTTTTTTCTGCTCCATCTCTTGAAGATAATTTCTAACGAGGAATATAAGCATAGTTAACAATGTTGAACTAAGACTGTTTTTAAGGAATAGTTTCATGCTTTAGTGAACTCTTAAAAATGCTCCTCTTCTTAATTATTGAAATCCTTCCACAAGAAAACATTTACCAGAAACACCCAGAGCATTTTGGAGATGATTACTTCTACCATGACAGACAATGGGAAAAGTTAGCAAGGGGCCAAATCTCTCCAGCATTCAGCTTAATGAAACAATCGTCTGTGGATTCTGTTATAATTGTACCTTAAAATTCATTATTCCGTGCCCTTTTATTAGCTATGTACAGCGTTATGCAAAATGAAATACCAGTCCCAATCAATCTTGCGCAGAAGCAAGCTAACATTTCAATGCAGCAATTCAATAACCGTAATGAAAAAGATTTAACGAAATTACCGAGCTCCAAAGATCGTTGACCGTATCTTGACAGTAACAGGGAACTAATGGAACCAAAAGCCAGCCAGCCCCATGGGAGGGGCAGGTAACAGCAGTCGCTGAGCACGATCTCCGTGCTCATCCACTTTTGCCTTCCCTCCCCCCTGCCCCAAGCAATTGCTTTCTGGCTTAATGCGATGCCCAAACACTTCTAAGTGCAATAACTGATGGATGCGTTCCCAAAAAAAGTTGCACAGTTTCCTGACCAAATTACCAACGCCAACAATTCTGCTCATACAGACAAATGCTTCCAATCTTAAAAATATTTATTTGCCTCCTTGGCCTTGATCAGTGCTGCTGATACACTCAAATTGTGAAATAAGATATCGCATAGGTACCAAATGGAATCACACAGGGCTACAGGAATAAGGATGCACAGTGATGTCTGACAAGCTCAGCTGATTCCAGCAATGTCTCATTTTCCACACAAACCCACTTGGCACAGAGAGGAGGCTGTGCAGCCCTGTCTGCAGGTTGGAGCCGATCTGCCTAATCCCAGTTCTGTCTTATCGGTAGCAAACTCACTGTCTTGCTTTTTGTTCCTCATTGTATATTATATAGATGAATTATAGATGAATGCTCAAAACATGTTTTGGCACAAGATGAGGTTTAGGACCCAGGAAGAACCCAAAGGCCTCGCTCCAAGGCTCTCAGTGCTGCAGAGCTGCAGGAGGCAGAGGGCACGAGCAGCAGCAGTGACTGCAGATCTCCTGGTACCTCTCAGCACTGCAAGGAATCCAAAGGCTGGGCAGCTCCTCACTGCTGGAGACCAACACAAACATTCACAGCAGCACCTTGCTATTCTAAAACAGAGTATCTATACAAGCTGGGACCAAATAGACTGAACCCAGCATGCTGCCACACCGTCAGGGTTGGACTTGGTGATTTTAGTGTCTGTTCCAACCTTAACAATCCCATGGCCATGCAAGATACCCCAGCCAGCAGGAGCCTCTTGGGATGGAGACAGCCTTGCTGAGTGCTGGGAAGAGGAGGGGGAAGGTGGGAAGAAGCTGAGAGGTCTCCCACTGTGGGGGGAGAAAGGAAATGAGGCAACACAGACAGCCCAGCAAACGCTGATTAGGCTGCAGCTGGATGAGGTGCACCAAAGGAGCACACACATTCCTGTTTACAATGCACTGGCTTTTACACATGCTGTATGAGAACTTTCCAACTCGGTGTTATGTTTTACTACAGGATGGCTGGTCAGAGATCTGCTCGCTCAGAGCATCTCTTCTAATGAGAGTGCAGTTTCTAACTCTGAAGCAGTGCCACAACACACCGCTACCAGACGAGAACTTCTAGAGGCCACAGAGAGCATTTTGCAGCAGGGGAATAAAAAAGGCTTTTTTTTGTTTGTTTCAGTCTGAGTCAATAAAAGCATTAGATTTCAATATAATAATATTTAGACTTTTCACGTATTGGAGAAATCAATAACTGGTCCAAAATACCACTCGCAATCTAATACTAACACATGTATTAATTGGAAAAAAACCCTCATAACTATTTTCCTCTATGGCCTTTGATAATTAAGCAGGCTTATTTAATCTCATCTCCCCTGGGCTATGTCAGCTATGCTAAAGATTAATGATTTATTTTGAAATAAATCTCCTTAAGCCTGGGTAAGCCAAGGTCTGTTTGAGAACAACACTAAATGGAAAATGGAAAAACTTCTTTAATAATAAATCTTTTGGATGGAAAGTGCAAGCGGGCTGGGGAGAGACGTGCCCTTAATTTATTCTGTGTCTTTTACTCACCATTAATATCCTGCAATTACAATTTGAGCTCTTTTAGAGGTTTGAGTTATTGCACCTTAATTGCCAAGCGATGGTTTATTTTATTTAAGCCGTTTGTTCCCTTATTATGGGATGACAAGTATTTAATAGCTCAGTGCCCAGGAGACACGTAGAGAAAACATCACCTTTGAATCTGAAACCTGCAGTTGCTGAGCAGGTGACTCAGTGTAGTGTCCCCTCTACACTCTACCCACTGCCACCATAATACCACATTTTTTATCTATGGAGTTGTAACGGGACAGAAAGCACAGCAATGAGAGCCGAGCAGCGAGGGCCCAGGCTGCAGCAAGTGAGGGTTGGCTCAAATACAACAGCTATAAGCACAGAAATAAAGGAAAGAATCTGCTCACCCTTGGAAGACTTCAGATATGCAGGGATCTCTAATGAGAAACCCTCACTTCCACTGCCAACTCTTAAATGGGGGCTGGGAAGGGATGGATCTTGGCTCCAGCCCTTCCAGTCACTCAGGTACTCTGTGCTGCATTGCATTGCATTGCACAGCACTGCATGCACGTGAGCCTGGGCTGGCCTGCCTTCTCACCATCACTCTTTAGGTCTGGGTTAGGCATTAGCCCTTCTGCTGCAGAAGACGACATTTTTTTCCTCTTTCTAATTTTACTAAGTCCCATAATGAATGATCATATTTTACACAGGATGAAATACTTTATAGCACAAAAAATATATCCAGGAGGTGGGAGAACCACACATAAAGGGAAGTTATATTTCCATTGTAAACTTTCAAAACACTATTTAAAAGAGCCCACACAGTTCATGTTCTTGCCAACAGAAGGATTCTGATTCAGTCCCCATTGTGACAACAGCTCTGCACCTCCAACTCCGTAAGTGGGGACACAGAGCCCTGACAGCAGCTCTCACCAATGAGGAAAGCCTCAGCTGCTGCTTCAGCAGTCACAGCACGTAAGGCAGCTTTGGCTGTCCCAGCAGAACCCATCAGGGCCACTTATCAAAAGAAAAAGCCTCCAAGTAACTCATGTGTTTTTAATTAAAACGAATGAAGGTGCAGGAATGGTTCTACTCATGATGGAGTAGAAAGCCATTTATAAATGCATCCTTGGGCAGCCTGATCCAGTATTAAAAGTGGGGGTTGGCAGCCCTGCCTGCAGCAGGGGGGTTGGAGCTTCATGATCCTTGAGGCCCCTTCCAATTCAAGCCATTCTAGGATTCCTTAAGTCTGTTCTTTTCTAACCAAGTTCATAGAAGAGAGCTGCACGACCACTGTGCAGAGAGAGCAAAAGCTCAAACAGGCACACAGCCTCACTGCCAGGACTGCTACAATGAATATGAACTTCTTCTGATGTCAGAGGTCTAATGAGGCTGCTAATGAGTCTGCTCCTGCCTGGTGCTGGGTCACCTGTCTGTGATTTCAGCAATAAACCGGGTGAAGAAAACAGAGAAATCTCTCTAATTTCTCATTCCTATCGACACCTTAATTACACCTACATTGTGAAAGTTACAGGAAATATTCTTATTTACATGTTCCAGTTATACTATCGTAGAGGACAATACTGGCATATTATTCCTTATGTCCTGTTTCAGATTTTTTTTTTTTTTTTCCAGAGAATGCTTTAACGATTTTACAGCAACAAAATGAAGAAAAGGTGACAAAGTATTCGGCATCCTTTGAACTCAGTCCTTCATTCATATGTATACACCAGCACCTGATGAATAATGCAGGCACAGAAATCTGTTAGCAGTTTTGCTGTTCAGAAACACACGATTAGCATTGCTCTCACTGCAACAATTATACTCTTGTTCTCAGAGGTCATTCTTTAAATTCACACAACTGTCGCTGTATTTCTGGAAGTAAATAAGGCAAAATAGATATTAGAGATGCAGCACGGTGCATGCCACAGAGCTACCCTCTCCCTGTGCTCCCGGCAGCTTGCCTGCTGCTGCTAACACCTCTGAAGGAATGGCATTGCCAGGTCTATGGTAATAAGCAGGAAGCAGGAAATATGTAATTGAACAAAGCCTGGCCAGGATAGGAGGTTTGTTCTCACGCAGAGCTGCGATGCTGGCAGCCTGGATGCTGTGTGGGATACAGAACCTCACTACAGAATGTGCTCCTGAAGCCTCCCTGCAGGCATTGAAGGCCAGGCTGGATGTGGCTGTGGGCAGCCTGGGCTGCTGGTTGGTGACCTGCACACAGCAGGGGGTTGGAACTGATGAGCGTTGTGCTCCTGTGCAACCCAGGCCGTTCTGTGATTCTATGAAAGCTGTCTCTGGGAAGGTGGAAGTCCTGCCCTGCCTCAGGAACAGGGGCACAGGTGGCCCTCCCCCCCTAGCAATGCACTGTCACTGCCATAGTCTCACTCTGGCTCTGCATACTGTGCTCAGAGGCTGCCCTGATTGGAGCTGCTTGGCTGCTCCGCTGTCTGCTCTCGCTGGC